AATTCTCACCTTATAGGGAAATCATTAGTTACAAGAAGATAAAGATTGTTCGCTGCTGACTCAGCGTAAAGCCTAGTTTACACTGCGCACTGTTTCGTCAAAATTTCTGAATGGGTCTGTTGTTGCACTGACATTTGTTTCAGCTATGAATTGCTATTAGTTTCCGAACAACGTTAGTAGAAATGGGCCTTTAATTCAACCTCTGTAACGTATGCAGCAATTATTGCCATCTCGTGCCCTGCGTGGAAATTTCGGACGTTCTTAAATATATTCAAGGGCAGATTTAACAGAATTAAAGAGCAGTAATATTTGAAAACGAACTTGAATAAAAGATTGCTTACATTATACTCTTTTAGTAATGTATGGATTAAGTTTACAATGAATTCAATGCCTCTGTTAGTTTCCTAAAAATTAAATTTGACATTAGTCAGTAAGAACTTAAAGGTTAAAAGATGATGTTGACTTGACATACGTCTAGTCAAACCAACAGCCATAACCACGTGGACTTAGTATAGGCTGGTACTGTTTAGGCAGTATAGACATTGGCTATAGGATAGGCGATTGGTGCTTGATTATAGGTAGGGGCTGATACCTTTCTCTTCACCACTACGTCCAGAAAAACTCTGACGTCCACGCAACTTCATATTTAAAAGACACTAGGGGCTATTTTAATGGGGATAAAGTTCCCGGAGCGTGAAGCCGACCAGTCATCTCTGGTACAAGCTGAGATTTATTGGAACTGTACTTCGTGGCGAACTGCTCAGTCAGGCAACACAACTTCATGTTCCACTTCGCCTATTGTTTCTATTTTGGTATTTATTTAAAGAACTGTTTTCTTTAAGAGTGTTTATGCAAATTATAACGTATATTTCTACTGCTGAAAAACAATAACTACTGAGAAATTACGTAGAACCATTTTCTTTCATCCTAAAAATATAAAATAAAAGCAGACCAGCAGCTCTTATGGATGTAGGACGACCGCAGTTTTAATCCGGAGCTCTGCCACACAAAATGACAGCATAACAACATCCGAACTCAGCGTTAGACGTTTGTTTTGCATCAAACATACATCACGCGGTGAAGAAAGCACAAACTGAAAGTATTTTATTGAATCCATTATCGGCACATACTTTTTCGGGCAATCATACGTATTAATCAGACATTTATTGGATGCGGACGGAATGGAATCCGGGGATCAAGGAAGACGAGACGTGTGGGTCACATAGTACACATATGGAAGGTGAAAACTTCATATAAGACTGGAATCGGTAAACGAGAAGGGAAGACGTCACTTTGAAAAAGAGAGGCGAAAATAGAAGAATGTTATTAGGTCTCTAATGTGTTTAAGAAACCAAGTATTAATGTAGATTGAAGTGACTCAGTATAGGGCACAGTAGTGAACGTTGGAGTCTGTAAAAGGCAGGGAAATTATTGAACCAGTTGAACGACAATCAGCTACTTTTTCCAGAAGAACTCTGCTCCATAGAGTTAATTAGATTTACTCCTAATTGAAGCATGCAATACACATCTGACATTAAGTGCTCGTGTGCGGACTCCATAACTTTCTGCCAGTGGCTTGCACTCGTATACCGCAATAAACACGTTAAAATGACAAAGAACACAGGAAGCCTGCTGAGTTAACACTTCTGGTGAGAACTGAAAATTTTTAGGTTTATTACGAACAAGTTATGTGCTGTAAGGTTTAATGGTTTATAAGTTTGCAAGGGAATTCGTAACTAAAGAATAACATACACTAGAACTATTTTACCTTCACTCTCTCTCCCTTTATATAAGTGTGCACCACTTTTCCATACAGTATAACTAAAGTAACTACAAATAATATTTGACATTTAAATTTGAATAATCTGATATTACTCAATCGACAGCAAAGAATAAGGACTTTAATATGTATCGACTATGAGGTAGATTTCAACAGCTCTTTGGAACTGTAAATAGACAAATTTGGGTAATTTAAAAAAAATTGCTAAGTTTCTGTTGAGTAATTTTTCGCTGTACCTGTGCTGCTCTATGGATCCAAATATCTTACACGGCAAAAAATATTTTTTAGAGCGGCCGCAACATATGAACAGACGGATTACAAAAATAATGCAGACAATAAAAATTACTGAAAATAACATATATCAGTTAAATAATAAGAAAGTCTTAGTAGAAATGGATAGACTATTTTGGAGGCATTCTTGAAAACCGAATATTAAAGTTGAAGCAAATATAAACGAAGGAAAAAGGTGACAGGACTGTACGTGTAAAAGACGGCGAAGAACACTCTATTTTTAAATCTGAAAATATTAATAATTTAATTCGTTACAGTGATAATAGATACGCTCATAACTCGTCACAGGTGTTTTTATTAATTAATGACTTTGTATGAATCAGAGACAGTTGCATTTGTGTAGACGTTTAAGGAGGATACGAAAGTATTTGGAGAAGACAGTCAAAAATCTGACCAGATTTTTTCAGAAGACGATACAGGGCTTGTTGTGTCCAGTTCCTTGCTTCGAACAGGTGTGTGTGAACTAGGCTTGTGCCGCCTATCACAAGGCTTGTTTAAACCCGCTCGTCTTGTCGATGTGCTTCCGCTGTCTCCCGCAAGTACGGGACAACAAAACAACACGTATTCGTGACTTGCCACAGGACGAGCAGAGTTATTCGTGACTCGTGACCGTATCCGACGAGAGAAAAATACATACCTCAGTGCGTACAGAAACATTCCTCGATCTTATTGTTCGGAAGCACTGACAGGTCTAAGAAAACTCAGTTCTGGCTCTTCTTTGCTCTGATATCTCCATCTGCTCTAAGCTATGATTTAGATCTAAAGGACAGCGAGCATTTTGATGCGCATACAGGGCGGACAACGTTTCAGCTTTCAGTGGCAGCTTTTTGGATAAGTAGCGTTTACAGCCCAAAGAAACATGATTGTGACTAGGTACATGAAGCAGAATCATTCCTGGGAAACTGACAGTCGACCAAGGCGTCAAGAATTTCCCAGTCATACATAGAATCAGGAGATTCGTTACTGTGTTCACAAGAGTCCGTCATTGGACTCAATACCAATCTCATCATCAGCGTATTATAGAGCTTCTGTGATTTTCTTTGCGATATTAACTTTTCCCACTCAGTTCCAATATACAGAGTGAGTCAAAAGTATGTTTGCAGAATTTAATTACATGATCTGGGAACAAAAATAATAAAATAGTTTCTGTGACCACGTGGTCGGAAATGCTTCCTTACCTAGATAATATAAGTGAATGCAGAATACATATTCGTGTTACAAAGTGTTTGTTACAATTTATCTAATTCGCGATGTTGCAAGAAGTGTTTAGAATTTGATCTCTCCACCTCCACACACGCTCGAACACACCGGAGCTTGTTTTAACCGTGTCAACAAGCAACCCACATAGCTCCTGCTGTATGTTAACTGGCGTTGTATACACCAGGGACTTCAAGTGACCCCACAGGTAAACGTCCGAGGGATTCAGGCCCGGAGATCGCGGTGGCCATGCCACAGGGCCTCCTCGTCTAATCCAGGTAACCTCTGACTACACAGCTGGAGTGAGTAGGAGCCCCATCGTACATGTACTACATTTTCCGCGGATTTCATCTTCGAGAAGCAATGACAAATCGTTGTCGAGGAATCGCAGATACATTTTTACGTGCTCTAGCAAACTACAGCACTTATGTTCCAAATCATAGACTTCCCTTCACTGAAACCTGGATAGGTTTGTAACCACAATGTGCCGACGTCGTACTAACAAAACTCATAACCGGTAATCTCTTGCCTGGGTTATTGGTTGGGCACGTGAATGTACAAAGTTCAGTAGAGTGGCATCAGAAGAGCGATGCAGATATATGTAGGTAAGGAAGCATTTCCGACCTCGTGTTCATAGGAATTTTGTTATTGTTTTGGTTCCGAGAATATGCCCTTACATTTTTGAAACATACTTCAGACTCACCATCTATTCTGGTATTATTGTATATGTTTAATGGTGTTTTTAAGGTTTAAGTTTGAAAGTAATGGTGATAACGCTTCTAATATTTTTAGGCCATAATGAGTTGGAATTTTGTCAGCCAAATGTATACCTGTAAAATTCGATATTTACTTTATTTAAAGTTATTTTAATTAAACTATCTCGTTCATTCAGTGAGAATGTTGTAGCCACACTTCCTTCCTCACTGAATCATGGCTTTCTTGAAATCTATGAATAGGTGATATCCTGTTTCATTGTACTCCCATATTTTCTACGATATCTGGCCCATTGAAAATACCTGATCAGTAGTTGACCTTCTGTTACTAAATACACGTTGCTGATCCCAAGTACATTTGTTTACGTATAGAGTGAAACCTGAAATAAGAATGTTGAACTAAGTTTTCTATGTAGATAATAAAACTGATATTCCTTGATAACTGCTATAGTAAATTTTATTGCCTTTTTTGTAAATATTTTCTATAACTGTTTATTCTGCTGCTGCTGCAGTTCTTTCTTACTTGAAATATAATTGTAAACTTAGTGAAGCTGAGGCTCTCTTGGAGTATTACGGTATGAAATTTAGAAGTAAAAAGGTGATGTTCTTCATAAAGGAAAAGTATTCACACTAAATCCATTTCAATTCGCATGTATTGCTTGAAATGGAGGTGCTGACATTATAATATTATAAGGTCGCATTAATATTTGCTATGGCAAATGTAGACGAAATAAGAGTTAGACAGGTTTTTGAATGACGTAAGTTTTAATAAAACACTGACGTCGGCAACTGCATCCAGAAATGAATGACGTGGCATTTTAGAAAAATGCAATAAATATATGTAGACTAACACAACAGTGTGATTGTGTGATTATGACTTATAGTTGATATATGAGTTTATATTCTACAACACGATTATTGCAGATTTAATAATGTACCAATAGGGTTCTCAGTTTTTTTAATTAGCATGAACATTTTATGTAAAACGATCAGTATTTTTATGTAGATATATTTTTCAGGTTACCTTTGAACTTCAAAAGCTGTTTCGTCGCCAACGCCTGCTTCGTAAAAGGTAGGGCGTGATCACTTCAAAGTTTATCGTATAAGTAGAAACATTTATTAGACTTGGATTGAAGATATGATGACAAATACTACATTTCTTAAACGATGACACGTAATTTCATGTAACTTCTGTATAACACATATAATAACGTTGACAGTAAAGTTTGTTTTTCAACACCGTTTGTGATGTCATATGGAATATAACCACGTAACACAAAATTGCGTTGTATTAATCGATCTGTACATATCTAGATTTAACAAGAAATAGTGTGAAGTACATGACACAGGTCTTTAGTCCTTTCAGTCATTTTGTTAGACGTTATCATCGTCAGTTTTATTTATGTACGGTTAATGTAAGCGTTTGAGAATGGCCCATCAGAAGTACCAATACGAATTGGTAGTTACGTTTGGAATCGCAAAATTAAAATTGTATTAGCTTATAAAACTTACGTAAATTCTGTATACTAGTAGGCAACTAAATCCACATACTGGAGTTACGTTTACGGGGTTCAAAGGTTACAAAAGCATTGACAAATATTTTATGGCTCTAGACGAAGTTCACATAAGAGCAGAGATTTCCGTGCTTTTAATTGTACTGAGCAGCTCATATGAGTAAAATTTGTTGAAATGAAGCTGACGCCACATTAAATAGTTTAGTAAACTATTAATACTTCTGGCAGAAGCATTGGATCAATCACGAATCCTTTCTTTGAGGTCCGAAAATTTCTAGCCTTATGTTTGGTCCCAAGTATTTTAATTCTGCTTGTTCTATTTGCAAAGTATGTATTTTCGAAACGTTTATACAGAGCATCGAATTAAGATTAGTAGACATAAAACTACCTTGCCATATTTTCATGTGAGATAAATGCAGAAATTTTTAAACAAAAGAAAGATTTGACGCCTCCTAGGTGGAAGAATGTTCTGGTACAAGAAAATAACTATACGTCTCTGGCCATTAACATAAGTATAAAATTTTGAACGCCATCCACGTTTTAAGAAGGACAAGCCACGAAATTGTTAGTGGGAAGTACTTCTTTGAAGAGCTCCAGACCCCTCCTGAGAATGCAAATCTGCAGCTTGTCAGTATGGCGTCAAATGTCAGATTATCCATGTTAAATCTCCACTTAGGCGCAGTATGTCAGCCTTATATTATTAATAGAAGTTTCACTTGTGTCATTGTAAATCTTAATGTTGCTATGTTCAAGTGATTTTCATGTCAAGATACTAACTTTTTTAAGATCCTACCAACGTCTATGTCGTCTCGAATTTGTGTTGGCCGAAAAAGAAATAAGGGAACAAGGTTCGCATGCTCAAAGAGAAAATATCAAATTAGAAGAAGTGGTTAGAAGTGACTGACAGGTTGGCAAGACATCATGCAGTGTCAAGATGACACGTGTGCAACTTGCCACTGCGTGAGATGCAGGGTGTGGTTTGCACTGCCAGCAAGCCCCTCACTTGATCATGTGGTCTGACAGACTGTGGGCCTTTTTAACCATATCTAGTTAGGTATTCGTAAGAAAGGAGCGTATATTGTGGTAGAAACATGCCCGAGAGAACACACATATTTAACAAGAAAATTGGCTTCGACAAAGAAGTAGGGAACTTCAAAGACCTATTCCATTCAACTTTCGCACATACGTCAAGCTGAATTTCGCCCCTCGATTATGTCTGTGATAAAGAAAGTTCAGATTGCATGTGAGGACTACATTTTCATACAACAGAAATTAAAATGGATCTTATGAGATAGTATAGTTGCGTCATATTGTGATATTAATTAAAATAATTATTATATTTGTTTACCGTAAAATCGCAATAAAATAGTAAGATAAGATAATTAAAATGAAATATAAAAAATAATAATAAAAAAATTAATTTTTTTTTATAAAATTGTAAAAACTATAAATAATTGTAATTTGAGTTTAAAAGTTTATAATTTACACCTGATGACGGTTTGATAAACCGAAACATGTTGTGAATGTTCCGATGTAAATCGAATGCTCGATATGGAACATAAGATGATATTTTAATCATTTTAATTATCTTATCTTACTATTTTATTGTGATTTGACGGTAAACAAATATAATAATTATTTTAAAATGGATCTGTTAAGTTAGATATTTCTGGAGCAACGAAGCCTCTGATTCCTCAATCGAAACGTTCACTATAATATGCAGAAAACGTCTTTCCCTCTAACCAGAGGTCATCTCTCTTTCTCAAAACCTTCCTTGCACTCCGTTTTTAAGTGTCAGCCTCGAACTATGCTAACACACTTCTCACGTTTAGTTAGGACGTGAATTATTAGTTTGTATATATTATGCAAGAATTTTAATATAAATTTTTATGTACATGACTTAATCAAGGCCTGGATTTATCTGGTAAATAAGCAAATAAATAACTGTGATTGATGGACACATTTTACGGGTTATCCTACAGTGATCTAAAAGACAGAACCAATAAATTAAGGATTCTTTTGTGAAATGTAGCTCCGTCATGCAAATTTCATTACAAAGCGGTTGCCATAATTTTGGCAACTATGGCGAAATAATGCAATATCTACTGTTCTTTTTGTCTTTTGAACAGTAAAATAAAAATACTCGCATGCACGCCTTCCAACATAACAAACATAAGAGACTGTAACTGCACATATACTTCTGTGTAATTTTATACGTGTACAGAATTGTCACACACGTAAAATTGATAGTCACTCACATGGGACACAAGCTTTTAACGGAAGGTGGTTTAGTAACTGTATTTAAAAAAAATGTTAGGCTATTACCACATTTGGAAATGTGGTAACTCCTATGATCTTCAAGGTAAGGTTTCTTGGTGCCTTAAATATCTTGTTCCTAGAAACAATGTTAGTGAATTTTACTAATAGTTTAATTTATCCTTTTCTTTACCACAGTTTTCCTTATTCATGTTAATAAACGTCGCAGGGAAAAACGGGAGAGAATAAATCTGGCGTGTCATTTAACTCGGATCTCTCCATGTGATTTTATGTATGTTTTAAAATTTTATTTTATTTAAAATAAAGTGCATGGTCTGCGAATGTGGGTCGGATTGGGAGAGAAGAAAACTAAAATTTATGTCAAGAGTCGTATCAGATTTCCTGAATATTAACACTGTGTTTAAAAGCACAAGTGGATGAAATACGGAACTGAAGGCTTTAATTTATTGCGCGTAAATTCGTGTATAAATGGTACCACTGACCCATGAAAGTAAATGCTTCTTATCCCCACTATAACTCTTATAGAAAGGTCGATATGGTCATCGCAGGTTTATAACCAATGGACATATACATACGTGTTTAGTTAAGCACAGTGGGATAGAAAGTTAGCCAATAAGGGTTCAAGATATCGAGTAGGTGTATGTAACACTGTATACAGACATGAAGGATTTATTTCCTCCTGCCGGATTCTTGCAGGTGACCTGTTGTAGTAGTACTCGCATATTAAACTCCAAATGGAAGAGTTGAATTACCTGTTCTTCTCCTTTCACGAAGACTTAAAAATCTTTCTACAATGTGAGAGAAAGATTGTCTGAAGTAACACGTTTTCGATACGTTTGTTTTCAGATGACGAGAATAACACCTGTATCTAGTATCCGTTGTATGATTTAGGCCAGGGGTTCTTAACCTTTCTCGCCGGCGTACCACTAATTCTAATTCAACACATTAAATGTACCACTAACCTAATGCGTTCGGGGAAAACTGTTATTTATGTTAATATTAACCTTTGTTTATCTTACTTAGTTCGCGTACCACTCAACATTGACTCTCGTACCGCCAGTGGTACGCGTACCATAGGTTGAGAAAGGCTGATTTAGGCTAATCAGACACGCAGTGATTCTACAGTCCGCGAGAGTTAATTAAATACCCGTGACGTTTGCAGCTCGTAAGTCATGTGCTGCGTTACTAGCAAAACGAAGAACGTGGTTATGTAAATTTACGAGACAAACTTTGTAACACTAAAACTGTTATAAAATAATACTAAATAAAAGAATCAAGATACTACGATCAGCGTAGCAGCAGAAAGTAACAAACACGTGTCAGAAATATCTTAATACTAAAGACCAATGTACTCCACTGAGAAATAGGGAAGGGGATTACGCATGCGCACATGACTTGCCTACCGGGTTGCCAGTGTCATAGGGGTTTCCTTAACTCTCGCGGACTGCAACTTTACCACCCGTCGACATTCATCCTCTACGTAGCGGACTATAAGTAATCTGTTGATAATGTTTTTGTGTCTGCAAATATAACCGGAAATCCGGCGTTGTTAGTTCAGTACGTTCTTTTTCTGGAAGTGATATAAAAATCGCCTTTAAAGTTGTTGTTAATCTGTCCCAACGAAAGACAAAATAACCCTTTCTGCCTCATTCTTATTAACAGCATTTCTGTTCTTCTCGACAGTTACGTATTTCGCATTTAAAATTTCGGAATTCATTTCAATTTTACTGTATTTCGTATTTTACGAAAAGAAAATCATGCAGCTTTTAAAATAATTATACACAAGTGTTCTATGCGTACTATTGGTAATAAATAATCCCATGGAAAATTTTTCTTCTTGAGCAGCCGACAGTAGGCTGAAGTAGCCAAGAAACTACCCGCGTTTTATAAAGCCTCTAGATTAATTAACATGTTCACAGAATCTTACCTACGGTCCTTATCCGGAGGAGGCGAATTCAGTTTACATTCTCGAATACTGAATTACTGAAATATTAATAAATGAAGGGATGTAAATCATTAATTTAGATATCCATAATTTACACAAACATGTTTACAGTTGATGTGTTAATAGTTTCGAGCACCATATTTATTGAAAACTATTTTTTAAGTTTTTCATCTGAAAAACATAGTTAATTCAATTACGACAAATGCCACCATTGCGGCCAGCTTTGTATTGCGTTAACGTCTATGTCAGGAACAGAAGGTGTGCAGCTCCAATTATGTACAGCCAGAACAAGAATGGAAGAAACCTTTGTGCGTCCCACTCTGCGCAGTGTCAATT